CGCGCCCCCGTGCCTGAGCATGTAAGGGTGCAGGCCGGGCAGGAACTTCTCGATCCCGAGGGCCCTGGCGGCGCCCGAGAGGGCGCTCGAGACCTCGCGCTGCGTGATCACGAACAGCAGAGGCTCCGGGGCCGCGCCGCTCGCGCGGCCGCCCGCGGCGGCGCCGCGCGCTGCCGCGGGGCGAGGCCTCCGCCAGTCGGGGCCGAGCCGCGCGGCCACTGAGGCCTCCAGCGCCGGGCCCAGCAGCTCCTGCCGCGGTAGGTCCAGCTTCAGCGCCTCGTCGTACTCGGCGGTCTTCGAGAGCACCTCCGTCTCGGCGGCGTGCAGAGTCACGCTCCAGCTGTCGTGCCCCAGGCGGCCGCGAGCCGGGCGAACCAAGTCGGTGGCCCGGATGTGGTACGGCTCGCTCGGGCGCAGGTACAGCTCGAAGCTCAGCCACAGCACGAGCGCCGCCTCGAGCTTCGAGACGCTCACGAGGTAGTTCACCAGCGCGCCCAGCAGCTCGAAGGGGAGTGGGAGCCGCGAGGTAGGCGGCGCCAACCGACGGAACCCGCGCAGCGCCCGCCGCGCTCGTGCCATCGGCGAGCCCGCCGCCTTCGTCAGCCCCAGGAAGAAGAGCACCGACGCGAAGAGCTTCTGCCCGGCCCCGATCCCCTCGCCGTCCAGGTAGAGCTCGTCCAGGCGGAGGACCAGCTGCTCGTCGTAGTCGTCCAGCGTCGTGGGCTGCACGCCCCGCCGTGCCATCCAAGCCTGGAAGCCGTCGAAGGCCTCCACGTACTGCGCCCGCGTCGCCGCCGTGATCGACCCCGTCTCCAGCACGCTCAGGCCCGGCAGCAGCACGGCAGCGGAGCGCCGGCGCGCAGCCGCCGCCGCAGTCGCCGCCACCCGACGCCGCCTCTTGGCTGGCGGGCTCGCCGCGGCAGGACGCCGCCGCGGGCCCCTCGCCTGAGCCGCCGCGCGCCGAGCGGGAGCGCCCGGGCCCGAGGGCAGCGGCGGCCTGGCGACGCGCGCGGCGGCTGGCGGCCTCGACGTCCCCGGAGGCCTGAACGTAGACCGGGTCAGCGTCGCCGAGGCCGTCGGGGTGCGCGGCGGCGCCGCGGGCGGCCGCGCCCGCGCCAACATCGGCAGGCTTCCCGGGCAGCCCAGCGGCGCCTGGCCCTGCCGCACCGGCCTTGGTCCGAGGCAGCAGCGGCTGGGGGGTCGAGGGGGAGGAACGCCCTCTCGAGGGGTTGTCGGCTGCATTCCACTCTGAGGGCAGCCAGCGGTAGTGGAGGGTAGTGGCGGTGACAAGGGTGACGGCGGCGATGGCCTGAGTGGCTCGGAGCATTTTACAAGAACTGCCCCTGAAACGATCCACGGCCCCGGCCGCGCTCAAGGAGTCGCCCAGCACCACGACGCGCCGACCGCGGTGCCGCGAGGCCCTCACGAGATGCTGGAGCCCGTGCAGCACGGCCCTCGCCTCGGCGACCGGCATGCTCTCCTCCGGCCAGCGCCAGCGGTGGCGCCCCACGGTGCGCCAGGGCAGCTCGATCACGTCCCGCGGCACCTCGTCGAACCCGCTCTCGGCGGCCCCCTCGGCTGCGCCGGCGGCCTGGGTCTGGGGGTTGTGACTATGGAGGGCGGAATCCTCCCCCCCCAGCCCGTCGCCGCCGGCATGCCGCGGGGGAAAGCTCGCGGCCGCGACCGCCTCCGCTCCCAGCATCCACGGCGCAGCGTCGGCGGGGTCGCCCGCCAGCGCGGCGGCGGCCGCCGCGGCCCCCGCGTGCCGGCGAGGCGCGGAGCCGGCCAGCCCATGGCGCCACCTCCAGCGCTCGGAGACGTGGCCCAGCCTCTGCACCAGCGAAACGGGGGCAGGGGCAGCGCAAGCCCCGATGCCCCACTCGCTCGCGTCGACCACGATGAGCTCGTCAGTCCAAGGCGAACGGAGGCTGCGCCACAAGAGGGGTGCGATGCCGTCCCAGTACTCCAGCTCACGCCGCACAGCCGGCCACAGTCCGGTCTCCTTGTCGTAGCACTTGCGGACAAAGGCGTAGCAGCTCCAGAACAAGGACATGCCCTCGCGCTTGATAAGAGATATAAATACCAGATGCCCGAGGAGCTTCTCGAGGTCGCGTCCCCGAAGACGGCCACGGCCGAGGACACCGCGAACGGCCAGGCGCGCACGCCGCAGCCGGGCCCGCGTGGGCCGCACGATGCACCGTCCTCGGTCAATGCACCACCCCAGCGCCTCCGACTCACCAGGCAGCTCACCAGCATGGTCCTCGGCCTTCACCACGAGCCCGCGGGCACGCAGCGCGTCAGACACGCGCCGCACGAGCGCCGCCACCCACTCGGAGTCGGTGCCGATCGCAATGAAGTTGTCGACGTACTCCAGGTGGGCGCCCGGCGTCATCGGCGGCGGCGGCCGGCGGTCAGCGATCCGCAGCTCGGGACAGGCGCCGGCCTCGACGCTGGTGCGCTCGTGCACGCGCTGGCACCACCACAGCGCCCAGCTCCACCCCATCGGCAGCACGGCCAGCCGCGGCGTGACAAGAGCGCCCCGGCCGAGTGGCTTCCCGCCGAGGAGCTTGAGGCCCACCGCCGAGGCGCGCACGGGCCGGAAGGAGAAGTACCCCCTCAGCTCCTCAGGCAAGCCCATGTGGTAGAACGCGTCGCTGAGGTCGGCACCCTGGATGTGGAGCTCGTCGTTGAGGCCGAGCTCCAACCTCGAAAGGGCATCGCCCGTGCACAGGCTCACCCCGGCCGGCTCGGCGAACCAAGCGTTGGCCCTCCGGCAGTCTATCACCATGCGCAGCCTCTGGTCCTTCTTCTCCACGAAGAAGGCCTCGACGGACTCGATGCCAGACTCGGCGAAGTCGACGAGGCCACGCTCCTGCAACATACGAATAAATTCCTCATAAGCACCCCGACGCCGCAAGGCTGGGTCAGAGTACGCCCGCTCCAGCCCCACGCCCTGCAGTCGCTGCTTCGCCCTCTCGGAGCACAGCAAATTCTGCGATATAAAATCCTTCACGGTGTCACTCCCGCCGCTCCCCCACAGAGTCTCCAGCGGAATCGGCCGAACCGTACCAGAGGGCAGTGAGATCGCGTCGGGGCGGTAGGATCCGAGCTTGGCAGAGTCCACGTCGTACCAGCTCGCCACGCGAAGCTTCCGAAGAGCCTCTGCGGGGGTGAGCCCCGGGGGCGGCGCTCCCAGGGCCCGCGCCGACTCCTCGACGAAGTCGATGGCCTCGCGCTGGGCGCGCGAGACGAAAGCACAGGCTGGCGCGCCCTGGCCAAGAGCCGGCTGAGGCGCATGCGAGAACATCCCGTTGAGGCTGCGCACCGCTCGGTCACAGTCCAGCTCCACAGCAGCACGCGCGCCAACCCGCTGCCGCACCGACCGGCTAACAGCACCTGCCTCTCCGGAGAAAGCGCCGACTGGCCGACGTGGCAGAGGAAAAAGGTCGCGAGGAACATGTCGGTCGTCACCCGCGTCAAAACTGCGGCCACCAGCGGGGGGCGGCCTGGGGCTCGGCAGGCGGCTGGGCCCCGCCCCTGAAGGGCCCAGCCGGCGCGAGTCAGGAGTCATTTCTCCTTGGGCCCTTTGCGGAGGGCCTCCCGTTCTTCTCGTGCAACTCTCAGGTTCTTGGCCAGCTTCGCCTCCCGCTCCACCTCGGTGCGGACGTAGTCCAGCAGCTCCGGGCAGATCATGAGCGTCGCCGACGCCCTCGTGGTCCCCGCGAACGCGTGCTGCTCCTCCAACGACATCTTCCCCTGGTAGCTCTTCGACTCCGCCTCCCTCGCCCGCTCGGAGTGGCCGAACTCTATCGTCTGGAGCCGCCGGAACTGGTACTCGACCATGATCAGGTTGCTCCCGTCCAGCTGGTCCACCAGCAGCCCCTGGGTCAGGGCCTGGCATATGTTGAAGTGCTCGAAGACCCCCCACGAGTTCCAGTCGAGACGGCAGGCCGTCTTGAAACGTTCGTGGTGGCCCAGCAGCCCACTCCCCTCCTGGTTGATGAACTCTATGCACCACAAGCTGGAGCGCGGCCCCGGCAGCTGCCAGTCGGCCCCGAAGCTCTCCTGCTTCAGCACGGCCGTCATCTCCGCCCAGGTCCGCTCCCGCCTGTCCTGGCGGTTGCGGCGGATCGGTGTGATCCGCGCATCCGTCGCGACCGCCCGATCGAAGAACTCGGCCTCGTCGGCCGGGTCCACGTGCTCGACGAAGATCCCGACGCCATCCGGGAGTATGTGGATGTCACGCTTGCCGACGGCCAGCCCGCTCCGCGCGTGGTCAGTCACGACGTCGCCGTACCGGAAGGGCCCGGCCGCCATCGCCGCACGCCACTCGGCGACAGGAGCCCCCGCGGCAGCGCCTGGCGCAGCCCCCTGCAGAGGCCCGATGCGAGGAGCCCGCGGCGCAGCCGCAGCCCCGCCCGGCACCGGCAGCGGCCGCAAGAAGACGAGGTTCGCCAGCAGCCCCGGATCGCCCCGAGCGGCGGCGATCCGCTGGCACTCGGCCTGGGCCTCGGCCTGGGCGTCAGCCAGCGCCCGCGCCCGCTCCTGAGCTGTCGGCTGCTGCCTGAAGCGGCACACCCGCTCAGGAGGCACCCCAGCGGGCACCGCGGCCCACGCCCCGGAGAAGCGGACGGCGGCCACATCCACGCTGTCGTCCCCGTAGTCCTCCGCGTAGACGTCGCCGTCCGGGGTCAGGATGACGCAGCTAGAATCCGACAACCCCACGAGCCCCAGGATCAGCCTCTGGTGCCACAAGTGCTCGTCGTCGGCGTACAGGACGAAGGCCCACTCCCTCGCCCTCGGCGGCGCCGCTGCCATCCTCGCCCTTCGTCAGCCGCCTGGCGCAGCTCAGCCCCCCGCGCACCACCGCCTGGCCGAGCACGCCGAGGAGGCACCCCAGCAGCACGCCGAACACCAGCCACCACCCTGGCCCCAGCCCGCCCCAGGCCGGGGCGCCGCCGCGCTCGACCTCCGTCGGCGCGGGGCAGCTCTGGCTCTCCGGCGGGGGCCAGGCCGGCGCTGCCGGCGCGGCGGCCCCGCCCGGGCAGCCCGGGCACGCCGGGCACGGCGGGCACGAGCACGAAGCCAGTGCCGGGCAAGTCGGGCACGCCGCGCAGTGGCAGTCGGGCACCGCGGGGCAGGCGGGGCACCGCGACAGGTAGGCGCCCGCCACGCCGCCCGCCCACTCCAGGACACGCACGGCGAAGGGCCCAGCCATGCGAGAGGCCCGACGCCCTGCTTTGCTTTGAGCCACCGTGTTGACGGATGAGACCAGAGGCAAACGAGGACCTCAGGACGAGCGGCCTTCACCGAAACGCGTGCCGAGATTTCCGTACAAGTACAACGCATATAAAAAAGAGAGCCAGAGAGAAAAAAAGAGAGCCAGAGAGAGAGAGAGAGAGAGAGAAAAAAAAAAAGAGAGAGTGAGAAAGAGAGAGAGAGAGAGAACAAGGCGCGGGAACGGTGCGGTAGGGGGGAGGGGAGAGGGAAGGAGCGGGAGAGGGAGGAAAGGGCGAGAGGCCAGAACGCCCCCCTCTACCGCCCGCGGCGCCGCGCCGCCTGGGGGGGGAGAAAAACAAAAAGAACACAACAAACAAATCGGCCCGACTCCCTCCCTGGCATATTTTTGTTTGTGCCCCCCCCCAAAAAAAACACTCCTCGTCGTCTGGTCCGTTCGTCCGTTCGTTCGTCGACGGCGGCGCGCTTGCGGTGGCCCTGGCGGCATCTGTTTCAGACTGGTGGCTCCTGTGGAAGAACCTCAGTACGATGCCCTCTCTATTTCTGGGGTGCTGAAGTGATGGGCGAAGCACTACTTGGCATTAGTTGGTTCATGCTTGGAACTGTTTGCCAACGCATGCTCCTGCTTGGCATTGGTTGGTTGCGCTTGGCAATGCATGATTGTGGTTGGCATTGAACGGTCGTGCCCGGTTTTGCTTCGCATTGGTTACTCAGGATTGGCATTGCTCAGCATTGCGCGGTTGTGCGTGGCACGAAATGGTCGAAATTAGCATTGCGTGGCATGACTTGGTCAAGTGCGATATTGGGCAATCGTGCTTGGCATTGCGTGGCATTGGTTGTTTATGCTTGGCGTTGCTTGGTCGTGCAAAGCACTGAGCGATTTTGCTTGACAATGTTTGGCTTGGTTGGTCATGTTTGGCGGCGTTTGGCAATGAGTGGTCCTGCTCTTGCCACTGCCTGGCACTGGTGGGTAATGCTTGGCATTGGATGGTCGTGCGTGGCATTGGGTGATCGTGCTTGGCGTTGCTTGGGGTTGTGTGGTCATGCTTGCGGCACTCGTCCGAGGTGATTGGTATTGGTCGGTCGTGTTTGGCATTGCGTTGTCTAGGTTGGTCGTGCTTGCCCGTGCTTGGCAATGGGTGTTCCTGCTCTTGCCATTCGTCCTGAACATTTACCAAAACAATGTACCACAGAAGCCTTGAAAAGAAATTTGGGCGGAAGAATCGTTGGTAAAGAGTCCTTACACAGGAATCCATGGGAACCCTAGGTCAGGAATTGTCCCTAAGGAATCCTTACTCAAGATTCGCAACTAAAGAGTACGTAAGATGGAATATGTAGTCAGAAATATGCGTTCATAATCTGTATGAAAAAATATGGAGTGTGGAACCTCTGCTACGGAACATTAAGGAATGTGTATGAAGGGATCTGTAATAAGGAACAGTGTTTCAGGAATAGTTCTTAAAGTATCCTTACTAAGGAACCCCTACTTAGGAATCCTTACCCTAGCATCCGTAGTACGGAATGTTCACCAAGGAACCCATGCGATGGAATCATGAATAAGGAGTCCGTAATAAAGAATGTGTAGTATATAATCAGTGTTCAAGAAAATATGCAAATGAATCGTTAGTACGCAATGCGTTTGGACAAATTCACAATAAACAATATGCATGAAGTACTCAGGGGAAACACAAAACCGTCCTAAACAATCTTCATTGAGGAATGTTCATGAAGGAGTCCGTGGTAAGGAATATGTAGTGGGGAATATTTACGAAGGAACCTGTATTCAGGAAACTGTATGAAGGAATCCTATCTCAAGAACCCCTACTAATATATCTGTAGTGATGAAGTTGTAGTATGCAAATTTGATGAAGGAATCATCAGTGAGGAATCGTTTTTTTATAGGTTTTTTTGTTAAAAAAAAAAATGGATTAACGAATCCTGATAAAGGATTATGTATCAAGAATCTCGGTTCAGGAACATCTACTAATTATTCACTATAAAGGAAGATTTGCAAAGAAAATCTGTATTACGGGAATATTGCTAAGGGATGTTTACTCAGAAATCCTTGCTAGGAAATCCCGACTAAGGAATATGTATCAAAGAGTCCTTGGAGACGGGGAAGCCGCGCGCAGGCCCTGCCGACCCTGGCGGGGAAGGCGGAAGCCGCGCGCAGGCCCTGCCGACCCCCACAATCCCAACGAGCTCCAATCGCTATCAGGATGCTGCCAAAAATGTGCTCGGCGCCTGGGCGAGCAAATCATGTTTCAAAACAGTATGCGCGGCGCGGATGCGAGTGTGCAATATGTTGCCGAAGCACGGACCCCAGACCGCCACTCCAGAATCCCCCGCCCTCGAGAACGCTGCTCCGCCAACTTCGGCACACCTCTTCTAGAAAAGCAACAAATTGAGTGAACAGAACAAGTCGGAGGTTCGCGTGGATCTCCCTGATCGGCGCTGGATTCCCCTCCGTAGCGTGCAAAGGGCGCTGGGGGCCGCGCCAGAGGCGCTGGCGGGGGGGGGGCGGGGGGCCCAACGCAGATCTAAAAAATCCGCGCGGCGCTTCGAAAGCGAAGTTTATGCATTATGTTTTTTCTCCTCGATTCTCCTTTCTAACAAAAAAATAGATTCCCCCCCCCGCGTTATCGGTACCCCTTCCGGGTATGTAGATCAGATGCGATTCTGACCGCATGTCCATCTTAAATATGAATATACACTATCCCAAGGGGGCCGGTATCCCCCCCTGAGGTTCCCCTGTAGAAAAACACTCTGCGGTGACAGTTTCGCTCTAACATAGCATTTGTTCACGAATCCCTTGCAAAAAGCACTGACGAAGTACACACGCGCGCGTCGTCACGCGCGCATGCAGCAATCCTTCAAAAAGCTTCGGTGCCGGAAGGATTTCGCAATCGAGTTCCCCAAAAAAAATACAAAACACACAGGGTATCGCAACTCTGATGTGCTAAAAAAGCTTCCGCGCGAGCTCTTGCGAAATCTTACGAAAACCATAGGTTTTTCAATATTTACACAAAATACGATTAAACGGGCTTCGCGCGCGAGCATGTCGAAATCTGTGGAACGCCCTTGCGCGTGTGCCGTCGCGAGAACCCTCTGCAAAAAAAGGGACGAAGTGCAGACGCGCGCGTCGTCGCGCGCGTATGCCGAAAACCTTCAAACCCATCGGTTTCGGAAGGATGTCAAAATCGTGTCCAAAAAACCTACAAAATCCCAAGGTTTCGCAACAGGATTTTCACAAAGCTGCGCGCGCGCGCTCTTTTGCGTCGTCGTCCGTCGTCGTCGGCCGTCCTCCCTCCTCCCGCGTCGTCGTCGGCGTTACGGTCGTCCTCTGTCCTTCCTCCGGGTTCGTTCGTCGTCGTCCTCTTTGGAGGTCGTGGGTCGTTCCGTCGTCGTTGTCGCCGTAGGTCGTCGTTCCTCCTCCTCCCTCGTCCGTCGTCCGTCCGTCGGTCGTTGTTTCGGTCGTCTTCCCTCCTATTTTTTTGTTTTTTGGTTTTTGTTTCCCCCCCCCCCCCGGGTCGCCGTCGTAGTCGTCGTCGTTGTCGTCGTCGTCGTCTTCCCTCCTCCCTCGTCGTTGTCGTCGTCGGCGTCGCCGTCCTTCCTCCTTCTTCGTCGGTTGCGTCGTCGCCGTCCTCCCTCCTCCCTCGTCGTCGTCGTCGCTGTCGTCGTTGTCGCCGTCGTCGTCCTTCCTTCTCCCTCGTCGTCGTCTTTGTTGGCGTCGTCGTCGTCGTCGTCTTCGTCGTCGTCGGCGTCGTTGTCGTCGTCGAAGTCGTCGGAGACGTCGTCGGTGTCGTCGTAGTCGTTGTCGTCGGTGTCGTCGCAGTCGGTCTCAAGAGGTTTTGCAAACCAAGTTGCGGGTGGGTGGGTGGGATGTTTGCGCGAGCAGTGGAGATGACGACTTCAAGTTCAGCAGAGTGGATCCTCACCCATAGGATAGCACAGGGCAGGGTAGATAATCGGCTCACGCAGCTGGTTTCCTGGCGACTCCTGGCGCCGGGAGGCGCCCATGTACCGAGAAATGGGCCCGGCGGGGGGGTGAAGCCTGCTGCACGCAGAAGATGTCGCAACCTCCCCCTTCTAGAAAAGTACAAAACGCCACAAAGATAAACTTTGGGCGATCTGCGCGGATCTCTTTGATCTGCGCTGGGCCCCCCCCCTCCCTGGCGCGCGGAGCGCCGCCAGGGGCGGCCCCGGAGGCGCCGCCGGGGGGGCCCCAGCGCGGGGCCAAGACATCCGCGCGGAGCGCCAACGTGTATGTTTATGGCGTTTTGTCTTTTTCGAGTGACCTCCCCTGTCCCTAACCCTGCCCTTGCGTGCGGCCCGGCTCCTCCTCCTCCTCCTCCTCCTCCTCCTCCTCCTCCTCCTCCTCCTCCTCCCCATCCTGCCCTTTCCTGCGGCCCGCTGCCTCCCAGGCCTTCGAGCCGAACCTGCCCTGTATCTGCCGGTGTGCGGCGGCCAGCACGGGGGTGAACTGCCGGCAGGGCGGGCACCACGAGGCCGAAAAGTAGATACCGACGGAGGGGCGCAGGGAGGGGAGGAGGAAAGGGAGGGGAGGGAGGAGGAGGAGGAGGAGGAGGAGGAGGCAGGGCCTCTGCCGCAGAGGCGGAGGCGGAGGCTGAGAAGGAGGATAGGGAGAGGCACCGGGAGAAAAAACGTAGGAGGAGGAGGAGGAGGAGGAGGAAGAGGAGGAGGACGAGGACGAGGAGGAGGAGGAGGATAAAGTCGGCAGAGGGCACCTTCGGGAATCTACGAGAGCCACCGGGCCCGGAGGACGCGTCGGCCGCCGCGGCCGCGTCAGAGCGCCCCGACGGGAGGGGAGGGAGGGAAGGGAGCCATGACAAGGCGAAAACCCACCCCCACCCCCAGTCCCGACGCCCAGCCCCGAGCCCGCGATCTGGGGGGTCGGGACTGGGGGTGGGGGTGGGTGTTCTCCATTCCTGGGCCCTGAAAACCCACCCCCACCCCCAGTCCCGGCCCCCCCGATCGAGGGTTCGGGAATGGGGTCGGGACTGGGGGTGGGGGTGGGTTTTCGCCTTCTCAAGCCAGGAGGTTGGTTGGTGGGTGACCTCGGAGCGAGGTTAGGCGGCGGGCGAGGGGGGGAAGTGAGAAGGAGAAGGCCTTCCCAGAAGGCGGCGGGACTCCTCAGAGGCCCGCGCGCCTTCCGAGGAGCTGTCCTTGTCTTCCGGGGGGGGCTCTGGGAGACTTCTCCGAAGGCCGGGGCACTTCCGAGACTTCTGAGGAGGCCCGCCCCTTCTCACTTCCCCCCCCGCGCTCGCCGCCCAGAGGTGGCACGTCGGGGCTGCTGGCCCAGTCGCTCGAGAGGGGAGCCGCGGGGCCCCGCGGGCGGCCGGCAGCAGCCCCCCGAGCGCCAGTCTCCAGGGATGAAGGTGACCGCTCTCGAGGGAGAGGGCACCGGGAGAGGGCAGGAGGGAGCGAGGACCTACAGTCGGGGCGTTGACCTAAGGAGCCCTAAATGAGGAACGAGGCCCCTTTTCTCCACAAGTTAAACTTCGACTTACCATCGAAAACAGAAGGAAAACCTGAGGCAAGCTGTGAAACAATCAAGAAACACAAAGCCCCTCCCAAACGAAAAGGGTTCCTTCTTCAGTGCCCCGACTGTACGTGACAGCGTGCCCGACCCTCCTCAACTCCCTGACCTCCCGGCGGAGGGGGGGCACGCCCAATCCCCTAGGCAAGCGCTGGTTTGGGCTGGGGAGGGGGCATTAGCGGTCCTCCGGCAGGGATCCTCGCCCGGTCTCGACCCCACCCAACCTCGAAGCACGACGTAGGTGCGAGGCTGGCAAGACGGAGCGAGAGATGATCAAACCCGGAGGTGAGGGATAATTTCGAGGACGGGAGGGGGGGAGGGAAGCAACCCAACTCGGCGGTGGACAAACCTTCCTTTAGTAAACCTCCCTTTAGTGAAAACGACCTGGGACCGAAACCGACGGACCTGGACCCGCAAAAATGACGGCCGCGACGCCCTCTCGAAAACCGAAAACGGACAATTCACTAATCGACGTGTCAGGGTAGGAGGTCTGTCCACCCCCGACCCACCGAAGGGCCCCAGCGGCAGCGTCCGCATAGCGCACCCGCACACGATTTGGCACACCCCTCGCACGCTCCGTGGTCCCCCTATCGAGCTCCGCCGAAGGCCCCCGCGGCAGCGTGCGCACGGCGTGCCCGCGCCCACTGTGGCACCCCTGACCCGCTTCTAGAGGAAAGAGAACTATGCACATACACCGATTCTTGCCAGGCCCATCCTGAGCCCAGGATCGGTGCATATGCCCTCCTGCCGTGGCCAGGAAGGCATATGCACCGATCCTGGGTCAAGGATGGGCCTTGCCAGGATCGGTGCATGTGCATAGTTCTCTTCGCCCGAGCTTCCAGGGGTCCGCACCGAGGTCTGCGTCGGCGCCAGAACTCCTCCGCCACGCTCACGGCGCCACCGGCGCACCCGGCGCGCTCCGAGCGCCCAGGGGAGAGGCGTGGGGAGCGGGGCCCAGCGCCGACGCAGGAACTCCACGCACGCCTCTGCTGGGGAGTGGGCGAGGGAGGGAGGTAGAGGAAAAATAAGTATGCACATACACCGATCCTGGCCAGGCCCATCCTGAGCCCAGGATCGGTGCATACGCCCTCCTGCCTTGGACAGGAAGGCATATGCACCGATCCTGGGTAAAGGATGGGCCTCGCCAGGATCGGTGCATGTGCATAGTTCTTTGCGCCCGATGCTGGGGAGTGAACGAGGGAGGGATGGAGGGAAGGAACATCCACTCTCCTGCACGTAGCGCGGCTTTGGCGACAAAGAGGGCCGACCCGCACGCGCTGCCGACCCATCGCTCGACTGCACGTGAAAATGACCTTCCGCAGGAGTGGCCGCCGGTGCGGGCCCATTGGGGTTCCCCCATCGTGGAGCGAAACGCGACAGCAGAAGCTTGCCCGCCTGGTTGTGGTCCCCCGCGCCCCGCCGCAAGCCGCGCACCAAAGGTGTCATTGTTGCATAGGGTCACTCCTGCGTGCAGCCGAATCCCAAGTGGACGCCCGAAATGGGTACGGAAAAATGGATGCCCAACAACAAATGTTGTCCCAGACCAAGAACGGCCGCTGTTGGGCAGGATGTTTTCTGTCTCAAGTAGACACAAACCGCGGCGGCGCGGACAGGGAATCGGGCTCAAAATGAACCAGAACTGCTGTGGGGCCTCGTGCCCGCTCCTTCCGTGCCCGTTTCGATCGTGCCGGCCCCATGAATTCCAGCCCACCACGCTCCGCACCAACTTCCGGAGCACTGCGCCGACATCTGGGCAGGCGCCAAAAATCGGGTCGGGCGAAAGGGGGGGATAGCAAAGGGGGGGGTTGAGAATCAGCTCACGTACTGATTTTCCCGGCGCCTCCCGGCCGCGGAGGCCGACTATGTAATCGGAATGGGCCCTCGATGAGAGCCGATATCATGCTGCATGCTGCAGCATGCAGCAATTTCGTAACCCCCCCTTTCTCCTCCCAACCCCCCCCTTTCGCCCGGCCCGACCAGAGCGCAACCCCACGGCGCCGCACCCCGCGCGCCCCCTGCGCCGGTGGAAGCAAGGCGCGGGGAGGGGAGCCCAGCGCCGACCGGGGGCACTCCGCGCAGAGCACCGGCAGGAAGTCGGACGGGGGGGAAGGAGAAACCATTCGAGGAACCACTTTTTCATGGTTGACTACCTACCAGACCACCCCAACCCAACCCGAAGACCCGAATTTCGGGTTGGGGGGGGTAAGGGTTCCACATGTGATTTTTCTATGTTTCCCGACCCCCCCCCACTGGAAATCGGGTCTGGTGGGTGGTGAACGGTGAAGGCGAAGTTGGCCAAAACCATCGTGCAGGCCTTCCCCGCGAAGGCCCTCCAGGACGAGTCCTGAGGGACCCCCAAGTCGGCGGCGTGCCCATGTGCGCGTCAGGCTGCCCGACTACGCTTTCGCTGCGGATTCCCTCACTGCCGCCACTTTCGTTTTCATGGGGTTCCGCTCCCATGATCCTGGGCGCCACAGCATCCCGCGAAGCATCCTCGGAGCTCCCGAGCACCACCGGAACAGGCCAAAGAAGGGCGCGGCGAGTGGACGGCGCGCCAGCACCAGACTCCCGAGGCTGCGCAGTCCATCGGCGGCAAGGCCGGACCCCGCCCCACGAGCTATGCCAGAGGTCAGAGGTCCCAGACTGGCACCGCCCAGTCCAGGCCAACCAAGATGGAAATAAGGAGGGAAGGGAGCGAGGGGGGGAGGGAGGAGGCCAGGAGGGAGAGGGAGTACGCGCTTTCTTCTGCGTCGGTGGCTCAAATCGAGATGGCGCCAACGCTCGGGATAGGAACGGGGCCGCCAGGAAGGAAAAGGGAGGAGGCAGGGGTGAAGAGGACTCCGTGCCTCAAGCACACAACGGTGCCAAGGGAATCTCGATCACGCCCATCGGTGCCGATCCGCGCCAGCACAGAGGAAGGTAGGCACGGCGCCCGCAAGGCGTGAGTGGCGCAGTGCGAGAAAGAGGAGGAGCAGCAAAAGAGAGGAGAGGAACAAACGTAACATCCAGTGCAGGAGTCATACAAACATCTTCCGAGGTATTCAGGGCACCAGAAAAGACATCGCGAGCTCCTCGCACACCGCCTGGTCTGGGCGCCACGCTGGGCGCGCACGCGACTACGGACTGTGCTGGCGCAGAGAGGGGCTCTGCAACAAAGAGGGGGGATGAGGGCGGGCGAGGAGGGAGGCGGCCGAATGCTGTGGACATTGCCGCTTAGGGCACCGTCCACGCCGCGGGCGGCAGAGGCGGCAAGGGCCCATCCGTCCAGCCCACGGGGGGCATACCGTCATTGCACGGGGCCGTCCAACCCTGCATATTGGCCAAGATGCTCCATTTCACCGCTGTGGATCCAGCGTTACGGATGTGTCCCGGCTCGCGCATCCAAATGTGGAACGCGATGCGCTTCTTCCCTAACTGGAGAAGTATTCCGATCGGAAATGTCTTGGTGCTCTTGACGCCCTTGGGCAGGTAGTGCCACTCAGCACCTCGGCTGAGCAGGGTGCCTCTCAGGACAATGGAAACTCACAAAAGGATGGTCCTGCCAGACCGCGGGTTGCCATCCGGCAGCCAGTGCAGACACCGATCGTATCTCCTCTCCTCCTCCTGGCCGGACTGTGCGCGCCCGTCCACCGAACTCTCCGGCAGCCAGTGCAAACACCGATCGTATCTCCTCTCCTCCTCCTGGCCGGACTGTGCGCGCCCGTCCACCGAACTCTCCTGTCCCATGGAGCCGATACTCCCGGAACAAAGGGTCCACGGGCTCCCCGGTGGGTGCCCCCCTCCCGCGCTTCCAGGGCCGGAGGACTCAGGAGCTCCCGCTGCCCCACTCCTGGGGCACCAATGCTAAGAACCCGCTGCTGGGGCAGGCCTGCTGGGCTTTTCCTGCCCTCGCCGCCCAGGGCGCGGCAACAGACTGGCACTGGCACGCCATCCGGGCGCTCCAGTCCGCCGTCTGTGGCGTCGCTGCTGCTCAGTAGCCTGGTGCTTCCCATGCCCCTGCACTGGAAGAAACGAGAGAGGCACAACCATAAACTGTTGGCGCTCCGCACGAATCTCTTGGATCTGCGGTGGACCCCCTCCCTGGCGCGCGGAGCGCGCAAGGGGCGGCGCCGAGGGCGCCGCCGGGCGGGCCCAGCACGGATCCAAGAGATCCGCGCGGAGCGCCAACAGTTTGGGCTTATGGATTGTGGCGAGCTTTCTTCTTCGATGCAAACCGGCCTCCCTGGCGGGCCACTCCCTAGGACAAGGAGCCACGGCCGCGCGGCCGCCTGCGCTCCCTCACTCGGTCCTGCGTCTCGGCCCCTGCGGCGCCCCAGGAAGCAGGCTGTGGCACCGCGGCCGTGACGTGGCTCTCTGGGCGGCGCGCGCAGGAAAGGGCAGAGGGAGGGGGGAACGCTTCTTGAAAGACGGCTGCCTCTTGGAAGGCGCCGGCCGCCCTTCCAAGAACCCAGGGGCAGAGATACGTACCCCAACAGTTTCTTGGAAGCACGGGAGCGTTCCTCGGAAGCAACAGCGGCTTCTTAGAAGCAAGCCGACTGCTTCTTAGAGGCACGCCAGGGACAGCTTCTGAGGAACAGCCGCCTGTTTCTTCGAAGGGGCGCCCGCGCCCTCTGAGCAAGGGGGTGTTTCTACAGAGCCTCCCCCAAGCGTGCCCCCCTCCCCGCCGCCCCCCCTCTGCGCGTGGGTTGAAGCCCGTCGACGCCGCGATGGCGCGCAGCTTGTTCCATGGAGCCTCGTCCGAACTGTCTTCGGGGACCTCTGCTCTCGCCCCGTCGGGGGCCGCGCCCGCCGGCCTCGCCACCCCCCCCACCCCCCCTGGGCCAGCAGGTGCGGCAGCGCGCCTCTTGGGCGTGGGCCCCCCCAACGCTGAAGCCCAGCTCGCGCAGCCCGCGGGCCGCCGCTTCCACAGCAGGTGCTGGACGCCGCTGGGGCCCTGTCCCGCTCGACCGTCGATGCCGCCGTGAAGCAGGGTCGAGGCCAACAGTGGCCTGCCAGCCCCAACCCCTTGTGCCCGGCGTGCGCCTTCCATCCTCCTCCTCCTCCTCCTCCTCCTCCTCCTCCTCCTCCTCCTCCTCCTCCTCCTTCCCCTCCTCCCCTTCCTCCTCCTTCCCCTCCTCCCTCTCCTCGTCCTCCACGTCCTGCCAAAACTTGGACTGACTTGGGGCGAGGCTCCCAGCGGCTGCTGCGGCGACCCACGCCCGCTCGTGTGCCACTGGCATCATCGACCGTTGGTGTTGCAGGACACGGTGGCAGACAGTCGCCGCACATGGACCACCAACCGTCAGGTTCGTTTCCTCAGCGCGCGACGCCGCGCGGAGGCTGAGCCGGAGGCTTGGCTGCTCCTGCATCCAGAAGTCCAGGATTTGTTGGGTGACCTCGGGCTCGGCGCCATCGGACCCCCATGGCGCTGTTTGGCCTTGTGCTGGCTGGGAAAAGGGAGCCGGAAATGGAACAGCCCTGCGGCTCGGGACACCGTTGCTGCGGAAAGACGGGGGGAGAAGCATGCAGGAAGGAGGGAGAAGAGGGAAGGATGGAGTGAGTAGGGAGGGAGGGAGAGGAGGGAGGGAGAGAAGAGGGAGGGAGAGGAGGGAGGGAGAGAAGAGGGAGGGAGAGAAGAGGGAGGGAGAGAAGAGGGAGGGAGGGGGACGAGGGAGGGATGGAGTGAGCAGGGAGAGGAGAAGGGCCGAGGGACTGCGTGTTTGGACTGCGTGTTGCCGGGGGGCCACTGGGGGCAGGGAGCTTGAGAGGAGGATGGGGTGGAGGGAGGTGGAGGAGAGGGAGGGGGAGGATAGGGAGAAATCGCGCTGCTGGACAGCTGGCCTTCTATATCAAATTCGCCGGCCCAACAGGCAAAAGGCGTGCTAAGATCTGCGGTGACTGGTTAACAATATTCTAGTTCGCGCGCGCGGGGCCGCCCCTGGGGGTCCGCGGATGGTCCCGGGCAGGTCCCGGCAGGCTCCCAAGAGCGTTCCAGGAGCGCTTCAAATGGCCTCCGAGAGAGCTCAACATGGCCCGAGACGGCCCAAGAGCGATCCAAGACGCCAAAGATGGCCTCCAGACATCCCAAAGCGCCTGCAAGACGCCCCCAGAGGCCTCCAAGAGACCACCCAAGAGGGCCCACGGAGGCAGAAGCGATTTGCTATAATGTTTGGAGGCTTTTGGCGCTCTCGCCTTGGAGGCCTACTGGCGCTCCAAGACGGCCCAAGAAACTTCCAGGATCGCCCCAAAACAACCCAAGAGGCCTCGAAGAGCGCTCAAAACGGTCCCAGAGGGCAACGAGACAGCCCCAGAGGCCTCCAAGATGGCCAAAGAGGCCTCCAAAACGGCTCCAAGAGCGGGCCCAGACGAGGGACCCTACCGGACATTTCGAGCTCCAGGCGCAGCGAGGTCCCCTGGAGGCCCCACGAGGCCCTCAAAAAGCTCCCGAGATGCCCCCGAGAGGCCCAAAGAGACCCTCAAGAGGCCCCCCGTACCGCCCCAGGAGGTGTCAGCCATACCGCCAAGAGGCCCAAAAATAGGCCTCCTATCCTTTCACCAACCCTTCCTACGTTCTTCCCTCTCCTCCTTCTCCCCCCTCTGCGTCAACGAACCTCAATCCCCGAACGAAATCGCACCGCCACGAGGCCCCTGAGAGGCCTCCCAGAAGTCCCCAAGCGACTCCCAACTCGCCCCAACTTGGCACACAAAGCTATCCAGAGACCTCCTCCTCATCCTCATCCCCCCCTTCTCCTTCTCCTCGTCCTCCTCCTTCACCTCTTCGCTCGCCACGAACACACAAACACATAGCACCAATGATGCAAGATGGGCAGGCGGAATGAGCGGAGCGATTCGATCAACAACATCCGAGGGGACGCCGACAGCGGCACCCGCTCAGCATGAGCAGGAACTGCTCTCGGTCTTTTGCTCGATCGCACCGAGCGACTGAGATCGGGGAACGAACAATGACATAAACGTGGAAACTCCAAGGTCCACGCGGACTTCTAGGATCGGCGCTGTATTCTGGGGGCCCCAGGACACACAAATAAATACACACAAATAAAATAACCCCCCATATTTTCCTATATTTTCTGGGTTTATGTCTTCCCCCCCACTTCCCATATTTTCCCATATGTTCTGGGAATCGACGAATACTTGTGTCTGTGTGCGTTTTTCCCTCCTGATGTATCCCCTCCCTGGCGCTCGGAGCGTGCAAGGGGCAACCACCGGAGGCGCGGGCCCAAGGCGCCGATCCGAGGACTCCGCACGGACCTCCGAGCTGCTATATGCTCATGCCACTGTGCGTTCTCCTGCGGAAAGGCCTGGCCACGCGCAGAACAGGGTCGGGTAGTGACTACCTACCAGACCACCCCAACCCAACCCGAAGGCCCGAATTTCGGGTTGGGGGGGGGTAAGGGTTTCATATGAGTTTTCTCAACACTCCCCGACCCCCCCCACTGGAAATGGAGGGCAATTTGGAGCCTTCGGGTTGGGTTGGGGTGGTTTGGTGGGTGGTGAGGTAGGGGTAGGAGGGACGGCTTCTTCGAAGCAAGCCAGCTTGCTTGAAAGCGCGAGCCTTGTCCACAGGTGTAGGGCCAGCGCCTTCTGAGAAGCAGCTTCCTTCTAAGAAGCCTCCCCCCTCCCTCTAATTACCTCCCCTGTGCGCGCCGCCAGACAGGGAGAAAACAAAAGGTACTGATACCGCTACTCCCCCGAACCTCTCCTGGGGTGCGTTCCGACCAGGTTTTCAAGGTGAATCCAATGGTGGCGACTGGGGCCTCCCGGGAGGTCCCCAAAGGGGAAAACCAGGGGAGGGGAACGACAGGGTACCTTTTCCCCCTCCGGTGCAATTATGATGCATGTTGCATCTTCAGGGGACCTTCTCTGTCCCATCGCGCCCTCATCCGCGTCGAATCCATGTCGTACTCGTCGAATCCGCGTCAAATCCGCGTCGCATCCGTGTCGAATCCACGCCGTGTCCGCGTCGAGTCCACATCGAGCCAGCGTCGGGCGCAAACAAACACACCGAGTTTGGGGACAGGCGGGGCCCCCCGAAGATGCGGCGTGAAAAAGGAGGCAGGGGCTGCCGATCAGCCGCGTCGTCCTCAGCCCGTCCCCAGCGACGCGGGACAGGTCGGGCGCCAGGAAGGGGCCCTTCAGCGCCGCGGTCGGCGGGGCCGCCAGCCAGCGCTCTCAGAGGGAGAGGCCTCCTCAGAGGGCGTCTCTCGGGTCGGGCGAAAGGGGGGGATGGCAAAGGGGGGGTCTGAGAATCAGCTCACGTAGCTGATTTTCCCGGCGCCGGAGGCGGCTATGTATCGAGGAATGGGCCCCTCGGTGGGGCCGAAACCAGCTGCATGCAGCAGATTTCGTACCCCCCCTTTCCCAATCCCCCCCTGTCGACCGACCCGATTCTCAGAGGGAGAGGCGAGCCTTTTCCCGGAAGCCCTCGGGCCTTCTGCCGGAGCTCTTCCTTGCGTCTTCGGGGAGAGCAGAAGGGCACTCCTCAGAAGGCCAGGGGACTTCCGAGCCCTCTGCGAAGGCCCACCCCCTTCTCGCGTTCCCCCAGGCTCGCCGCCGGCCCAGGGCGGGGCCACCGGGCGCGCCGCGGGGGGGTGGGGGGGGACGCGGCGCCCTCCGCTCCGCGGGCGAGGAGCGGTGCGCGAGGCAAACTCGTCCGACGGCGGGGACGCCCGGTCATCAGAAACGCTGAGCATTAAACAAGACACATTGAACCAACATGACCTAACGCAGTGGCAAGTTGCCACTGCATTAGGTCATGTTGCCACTGGCAAATTGCCACTGCGTTAGGTCAAATTGCCACTGCAATGGCAAGTTGCCACTGCCGGCCAACATGACCAGTGGTTGCCACTGGCAACCACTGGTCATGCAAAGACGTGTTTCGGTGGCAAGCGAGAAGCGTGATATCATAGCCGTAGGTAGGGAGCGGTGCGGCATAACAACTTGTCCGAGGTCAGGGGGGCCAGTCCCAGGGCGACTGGAGAGTTCGTAGCCCTACTGTGGCGCGTCGGCGTATATAAATTTTCCAGCCGCCATGGGGTAGGGGTCCCCGACAGCGAAAATTTGCATGTTACACTGTGTTTCATCCGCTAATCCGCGGCCTCCTCCTGCTGCTGCTCTTCCTCCTGTTCCACCTCCTCCTCCTCCTCCTCCTCCTCCTCCTATTCCTTCCTGCTCCTGTTCCTCATTCTCCTTGTCCTGCTCCTGCTCCTCCTGCTTCTCCGCTGATCATCCTGGGGGTCCCCAGGATTCGTAAGGATTCCTCAGGATCCCAGAAAGGATTCCTGAAGATTCCTCGGGATTCCTGAGGATCTCTTGCTATGGACGAGAGACATCGGAGCAAACATCGCAGCGTGCGCGGAGATCGCGCCGCATCGGCACGGAGTCGGATTCGAATCGGATCGAATGCACCAGGATGCGCAACAGCGCCATGCAAGCATCAAGTCGCATCGCAGCGGGAAGCGCGAGAGCGCGAACAACCTCGCGCTCTCGCGCCGGCCTCCAGGGGAGAAAAGGAGGACGAGGGGGATGAGGAGCCGAACCGCGACGCGCGAATAACTTCGCGCCCTCGAGGGCACCTTTGACCATCGGAGTCGAATAGGATTGGGCCGCCCGACACCAATATCGAATCATATGGATCAAACCGAAATGGACTTGTGGACGCCATGGCAGTGGGCACTCTAACAGTCCTACCACTGAATTAAACATGGGCATTACATGCTTAAAAGAGAAGTTAAACATGATATAACAATCTTCTACACGCTTAAACATGTCGTAAATGTGTCCTAAACATTTGGAACTGATTTGACAACATGCCTCGTTTCAATGGATGGTCCTCCACAAAATGGACCCTGGCCATTCCCACCGCGTAAACCAATTCCATCTCGAACGGCATCCGCCATCTTGCCGTCGCGCGGACGTCCATTTCGCGTGCATTGTTCGATGTCGTGCGTGTATGTTTTGCTCCATGGTCCAGGATGGTCCTCGATGGCTCTCGCCGAGAAAAATACACACGTCCGAGCGATGCCACGCCATCCGACAGCGGAGGTCTCGCTCGAGGTTTGGCCGCCTCGCGGCGCCGGAGGCCTCCAAGCTGGAGCATGAAACTTGCCATCGCTCGGATGCCCATTCCCTTCACATGTTTTGGCATTGTGCGATTTTTCTGATTGCTCGATGATCAAGGATGCTCCTCGATGGTCCGAGCCGAACAAAAGCGCAAACGTCCGAACAAAGCCAAAGAAAAGACACATCTGCATACGTAACCTAACCAACCTTGATCCTATACCTATACCTGAAATCGACAGGCTCACAGGCGATGACAACCTTAGGGATGCGCCCTTAGAGCCTCAAGGAACCCTTAAGATCGGCATCGAGATCAGGTGATGCCGCTCATAGGGATAAGAATCTGCTGCAGGCCGGTAAGCAACCGTAAGCTCCTTGAGGTCGGTGAAGCCTTCCAAGAACGGCGCTGGACCCCCAGCTCCCTGGCGCGCGGAGCGAGCAAGGGGCGGCGCTGGAGGCGCAGCCAGGGGGAGTCCAGCGCCAATCCAAGAACTAAGGAGTGTCCTCCGAGTTCGGTTGCAACTCATGGGAGCCTCCCATATAATCTTGTCGGCTCTTGCGAATCGACGCTAGTTGACGCTAAGTCGACGCTAATCGAAGCTAAGTCGACGCTAATCGACGCTGAATCGACGCTAATCGAAGCTGGCCGACACCAAGTCGGCGCTATCTCATCCACTCCCAGACGCCAATCGACGCGAATCGACGCTAACCTCAGAACTGTGAGGGTGTACCAGGCTCCCATGATCGTGGGAGCCTGGTGCTACAGAGACCGAGGATTCATGCGTATGCCGAGCTTTCTTCTCGTACGTTCCTGCATCAGCGCCCCTCAAACGGGGACTCCACTAACGGGTACTTTGGCCAGTGACCCAGCGAACCCAACCCTTCCCGATGTGGGCAAAGCTGCAATGCAAGAAAAAGGCCCTAAAGTGGCAACTTTCGGCAACATTTCAAAGTACCCGTTAGTAAGTACCCGTTACGGTGCCGTTGACTGCACATTGGGGGCAGGCAGCCGGGAGGGGGGTGGCACGCGCACCTTCCGTGCATTTACTCGTGGGGCCCGCGGTGGCAGTCCGAGGGCCATGTGGGGCCCCTGCGGGGCGACGTTCCTGCAATGCTCGATCCCCATACGTACGCATATTGCCCCCCGCTGCTGAGTACCCCCAGAAAGGATCCCGAACCCTTTGGGAGGGGGCCTAAGTTAGGGAGGGCCAGAAACATCAGGGATAGGGGGTTTTCCTGCAGATGTATCGAACCAAATCGTCCAGATGTTTTACCCCTAATGCAAAGACGGGGACCTCAGTGAGGCCACGTCTTCATCGAGTCATTAGCGTTACACGTCGGTCGGAAGAAGTAGGTAAAAACATGAAGTAGGAAGGCGGATTAAGTTGATTGGGTCCACGCCCCCCAGAGAATAACAAAACACAGCAGAAGCGTGTCGATTCTTGAAGTAGGAAGGCGCTTGAAATAGATTGGGATCTGGGAATCCAAAAATACATACTTTCAACGACCGGCGTGTAGGGGTTCTTTTGCTCTCGATGAAAGCCGTCCGCCAGACCTTCATCGACCGAACGCACGCGCCGGCGTCTGCGCCGCGCAGGCGTGGCGCGAACCCTGCCGTCGGGCGTGGCATGAAGGAGGCGTGATGTTTGTTGGCGTTTCAACCCCAGAAAATTTCAACACCACTGGAGAGGCGACCCAGAGGAGAGGGTGCTGATGGATGCGGGCCTTGGACCCCCGGGTAAGGGGCAACGATCGGGGGGACTTGTACTTCAGTGGGCCCCGGAGGGCCGTTTTTGTCGCCGCTGCCTAGAAAGAGCCCCTTGAAAATGGAAGCGGCAAAAAACGGCAACAAAAAACTACAAAAAACAGCAAAATGGGGAACCTCGAGCGGAACAGCAAAATGGGGGTCGTCCGCCCCTGTGCGTATCTCCCCCTACCGTTAGGTCGGGCATGTCCTCCTACGGGTGGATTTGGGAAGAAGAACAACGAATAGTCAAAACATACTCAAAATTAGTCAAAAAAGCATGACACATCGTCCCCTGACTACTTCTAAACTGTTCTTGGACATTCCAGCTGTAGGAAAACAGGACCGACGAAACCCCGCCGCTGCCCCCGACAGGGCCTTCTTCCATGGACCGACGGTTCGTCCCGAGCCCATGTCTAACAGCCCCTGGGACCCACAGCAAGGGCCCCACGTGCCCGAAGACGGCCCGAAACCTTGAAACCCGTTGTCCGCACGCGCGTCGGCCCGTCGTCGGCGTCGTCGTCGTCGTCGGGCACCGCTGCCTTCCATGGCGACGCCCGGCGTGCGGCTCTCTGGCGCCCTCGAGGCTCCACGGGGCCCAGCTGCGAGCCTTCGATGGCAGACCCTCTCCTCCTCCTCCTGACCTCTCCTCCTCCTCCTCCTCCTCCTCTTCCTCCTTCCTCCTCAGCCTCCTTCCTCCTCAGCCTCCTTCCTCCCTCCTCCATCCTCCTGTCTCCCTCCTCCACCCTCCGCCCCCCTCCATCCTCCCTCCTCCTCCTCCGTCTCCACCCTCCTCCTCCTCCTCCTCCTCCTCCTCCTCCACCTCCTCCTCCTCCTCCGTCTCCCCCCTCATCCTCCTCCCTCCTCCTCCTCCTCCTCCTCCTCCTCCTCCTCCCCTCCTCTCCTCCTCCTCCTCCTCCTCCTCCTCCTCCCCTCCAATGCCCTCTCCTCCGCTCACGGGGCCCTCGCTGGCAAAAGCCCCGCCGACCGCGGCTTCAGCGCGCCGAGGCACGACCGCACGGCGGGCTCCTCCTCGGCGACGTTCTCGCCGTCGGAGGGCGCGGGCGACGCCTGGCTAGCGTCAGCGCTGCCGCCGCCGGGCGCCGCCCTCGCCGCTCGGAGGGCTCGAAAAAGAAAAAAAAGAAAAAAAAAAAAAAAAAAAAAAAAAAAAAAAAAAACAAAAAAAACGAAGAAAAAGAAAAAAAAAAAAAAAAAAAAAAAAAAAAAAAAAAAAAAAAAAAAAAAAAAAAAAAAAAAAAAAAATAAACACGAAAAAAGACGAAAAAAAAGCGACGCCGCGCGTTTCTTGTACCGGTCGTCGCCGTCGTCGTCCGCCGTTTGTCGTCGCGCCCGCCGTCGTCGTCGCCGTCGTCGTCGCAACGTCGACCCCGCCGGTCGTCGTCGTCATCGTCGCCCTCGCCCTCGCCCCTTCCGGAACTCCCGCCCAGCGCCCAGCTGCAGCAAGGGCCGCACCGCCCCCCCCGTGCTAAGCAGCTCCTCCTTCCTCCATTCTCTCCTCCCGCTCCTGCCCTCTCCTTCCTCTTCCTCCTCCTCCTCCTCCTCCTCCTCATCCTCCTCCTCCTCCTTCTCCTCCTCCTCCTCCCGCCCTTTCCTGACCCTGGTCCTGCCCTCCCACTCCATGCCTCTGCTCTCCCTCCTCCTCCTCCTCCTCCCCTCCTCCTCCTCCTCTCATCACCATCACCATCATCACCATCACCAATCACCATCACACCATCACCATCACCATCACCATCACCATCACCATCACCATCACCTCACCATCCCTGATCATCATCTCATCAATCATCATCATCATCAGCATCATCAATCATCCAATCATCATCTCATCAACAATCATCGAATATCAGAAGCATCAGAATCATCATCATCATCATCATCATCATCAGCATCATCATCATCATCATCATCAACAGCAACAGCAACAGCAACAGCATCATCATCAGCATCATCAGCATCATCATCATCGTCATCAACATCAGCATCAGCATCAGCATCAGCATCATCATCATCATCATCATCATCATCATCATCATCATCATCTTCATCTTCATCTTCATCTTCATCATCACCATCATCATCATCATCATCATAATAATCATCATCATCCTCATCCTCATCCTCATCATCATAATCATAATCATCATCACCATCAGCATCAACATCATCAACTTCATCAACATCATCATCAGCACCATCATCATCAGCAGCAGCATTAGCATCAGCATCAGCATGATCATCAGCATCATCATCATCATCATCATCATCGTCATCATCAGCGTCATCATCATCATCAGCATCATCATCAGCATCAACATCTCCCTCCTCCTCGTCCTCCTCCTCCTCTTCCGCCTCCTCCTCCCACCCCCTCCGTCTCCTCCTCCTCCACCTCCTCCTCCTCCTCCGTGCTCGTCCATCGAGGCCAGAAGAAAGGACACGCGACCGTGCCGTCGTGCGCACGGCAACATGGATTGGGTATCCGTGGATCTGGCGCCTCATTTGGTGTCGGAACGCGCCGACTCTGTACGGAAACGGGATCTGTCACTAAGCCACACGCCTGAATCAATGTTGTTGTGTCCTCGATGCCTGCGGGAGCGGTGCAAGGAATACAGAAGACAATGGTCCGATACTGCTACTCCCCGAACGTCTCCCGGTGCGCGTTCTGACCAGGACGTCGAGGCAAATCCAGCAGTGACAACGAAGGGGCGCGTAACGGTATCGGTATCTTGTCCTCCTCCGGTGACGATGACGATGACAAGGACTGCGAGCCCAGGGGGTTGGCACCCATGTGAACAGAAAACCGCAGCCGAAGCTGGATTCGCGGTGAACCCACAGCTGAAGCCGAAGCCAAAGCTGCAGCGCACAGAACAGAACAGCGGTAAGGGCCAACCTTGAAGGCTTGGACGACAGCACCTTGTAAAAGCGAGGCCTTCCCGGCGGGAAGGACGCCCGCGCTCCCCCCCCTCGTCCGCCTAATCCCCTGCCGCATCCGTCCATCCTCCTCCTCCTTCTCCTCCTACTCCGCACCATCCTCCTCCTTTCGTCCTCCGCCTTATCCTTCTCCTCCTCCTCCTCCTCCTCCAATTCCTCCTCGTCGACATCTCGACTTCTCCCCCTCCCGCGAGATCCAACGCTGCGAAAACCAGAAACTGCAACGGCGCGCGCGAGCAAGCCCAGCCAGAGCCCCAGACCCCGAGGCCCGAGGGGCGGGTAACGAGGCCCTGCGGGCGGGAAGGACGCCCGCGCTCCCCCCCTGGCTCCCCCCCTCCCCTGAGATGCAACGTTGCAAGAACAATTATCCTGGCGAAAGATCCAATAACATGCAGTTGTGGGTGCCGCCACTGTGAATATCTTTCTCGGTGGAGCTGCGTCTGGGGCCACCAGGCGCTGCACTGGGTGGGGGGGAACGCATGCGGGTGGTAGCACTGGGGCCGTCGTTGGAGCTCCTGGAAGCGCTGTAGTGGGTGGGGGGACGCATGCCGGCGGTAGCACTGGGACCTTCGGTGGAGCTCCATATGGGGCCACGAAACGAAACGCTGTAGTGGGTGGGGGGCGCATGCGGGCGGTCCAGCTCCCTTTGGGGCCAGCAAACGCGACCTTCGGTGGAGCTCCCGATGGGGCCACGAAGCGTGTGAGGGGTGTGCCGAAATGGGGGTGGGGGACGCATGCGGGCGGAGGGGCCTTCGGTGGAGCTCCCTATGGGGCCACGAAACGTGTGATGGGTGTGCCAAATTGGGTTTTCGGGACGTATGCGGGCGGTGGCACTGGGGCCTTCGATGGAGCTCCCCATGAGCCAACGAAACGTGTGGGCGGTGTGTCAAATCGGGTTTCTGGGACGTATGCGAGCGGTGGCACTAGGACCTTCGGTGGAGCTCCCTATGGAGCCATGAAACGTGTGAAGGGTGTGTCAAATTGGGTTTTCGGGACGCATGCGGGCGGTCCGGTCCCACTGAGGGTTTCGGTGGAGCTCCCTATGGGGCAACGAAACGTGTGAGGGGTGTGCGAAATCGGGCTTTCGGGACGCATGCGGGCGATGGCACTGGGGCCTTCGGTGAACGTGTGATGGGTGTGCCAAACTGGGTTTTCGGGATGCATTTGGGCGGTGGCACTGGTGCCTTCGGTAGAGCTCCCTTTGGGGCCACGAAGCGCGCGAGTGGCGTGCCAAATTGGGGGTTTTCAGGACGCATGCGGGCGGTCCCACGGCTTCGGTGGAGCTCCCTATGGCGCCACGAAACGTGAAAGGGGTTTGCCAAATCGGGCTTTCGAGACGCATGCGGGAGGTGGCACTAGGGCCTTCGGTGGAGCTCCCTATGGGGCCACGAAAAACGTGTGAGCGGTGTGCCAAATAGGGCTTTCGGGACGCATGCGGGCGGTCGCACTAGGACCTTCGGTGGAGCTCCCCATGAGCCCATGAAACGCTGTACTGGGCGGGTGAAACGCAGGGAGGGGGGAGGAGGGGGAGGGGGAGGGAGGGAGGAAGGAGGAGGAACGCGGGGACCGTCTCTTCAAATCGAGGACCCAACACCGCAGGAGGGTTGGGAAAAGCTGCGACGTCGCGACAAGTCACAGCCGGAGCCCCAGACCCCAGCGCCCTGCGGCATCCTCGCAAAACCGCGTCGGCCCCTTCGACGGCCCCGGGCGCACACGCCCGGCGGTAACAACACAGAGAGGGAGATCCGATGGCGTGATGTGTTCCAACACGGGGCCCCCAGATGAGGCCCCCAGAGGCGCCCAAGAGGCCCCAAAACGGCCCCAAAGGGGCCTCAAAACTGCCTCCAAGAGGCGAGAGGCCCCCGAGAGGCCTCCCTCGAGATTCCAACGAATACCCAGCGGGCTTGTAACGCGCAACCCTGGCACGGTGGAGGGACTTGCCGTAGGCAGCTGGTATCCGCCGCCCCCTGTCTATTCATCGCAGGGATGCCTGGCGTGCTGAATCCTCTCGGTTTTGGTTTTGGCTCTTTTTCCAAAAGAACTCTCCCAATGGGCTCTGGCGCGTCACGCCGGGGCCGCGGAAGGCCCGGAAACGAGCTCAACGACCGGAAAAAATCCTCGAAGATGGCTCGAAATGGCCTCCCCGACTGCCAAGATGGCCTCAAAGACGGCTCAGACGTCCCCAAGATGCCGCCAAAACGGCCCAAGATGCACCCAAGACGGCCGTAGATGGTGTCAAGATGGCCCACGACTGCCCAAGAGTCCTCCCCAGAGGCCCCGACGACGGCCCAAGAGGCCTCCAAGAGCTCCTCCAGGAAGGCTTGCCGAGGCTAAAATCATTGATTTCCCTTTGGTTTTTCACAGATTTGGGTACTTTCGCCTTTTCGGCCTTCCGACGGCCCCAGGTGGCCCAAGAAGTCCCCAAGATCGACCCAAGATCGCCCAAGAGGCCTCCCAGATGGCCCCGTGACGGCCCAAGAGGCGCCCAAGACGGCCCCAAAACGGCCCAAGAGGGCTCAAACACGCCCAAGATGGGTTCCAAGACGCCCAAGATGGCCTCCAAGACGGCCCCGAAGCGCCCCAAGAGGGTCCCCCGTTGGCCCAGAAAGGCTCCCAAGACGGCTCCCGACGGCGTCAGACGTGCCAGGAACCCACCAAGATGGCCTCCAGGAAGGCCAGAAGAGGCCAACAACATTGTTTTTCCTTATGTGTTTGACGGATTTTGACATTTCCTTCTTTTCGGCCTTCCGACGGCCCGAGACGGCCCAAGAGCCCCCAAAAATCACCGAAAGATCGCCCAAGAGGCCTCCAAGACGGCCAAGATGACCTTCAAGATGCCCACGTGTTCCCCGAAGGCTTTCCAAACCGATTCGGGGAACACATGGTCCGATGGCTTGGCAGGTCTGGCCTCAACGTTCGGCCACATAGGCGCTTCCACAAAGGCAGGGGGCGGCGGTGATTCGCCGTAGGCGTCTTTGATACGGGGTCCCCAGAAGTCCCGACCCTGTCCCCAAAGGCTGCTTTCTCCTCCCGAGCCGCTTTTGGACGGCCCCTGGGGGGCCCCACGAAGGCCCCCCTGAAGCCGAAACCTGTGCAATACCTCCGCCTCGATTGTTGCAATACGCTGAACCATCTCTGGAAACATCAGCGACGCCCGATCTCGGGCTCCCTCGACGCCAGGGGGAAGGCAAGCCCAGAATCGAATCGAGAAGTCGAATCGGCAATCGACATGAATCGGATCGGCGGAAATCGGCAGCCGAGTCGGGCAAAGTCGAATCGGCGGAAATCGGCAGGCTAAGGTGCGCCCAGTGAAGAATCGGCACCCGGATCAAAAATCCCAAGTCGAATCGAATCGGAATCGGAATCCATCGAAATCGAATCGGCTCGATCCGGAGGAATGGGAAAGAGCCCTGCCGGGGGGCGCGCACTCCGAGCCTCCGCGCAGTCCTCCGCGGCCTCCTCCGCGATCCCGCTGGCGGCTTCCTCCCGGACCAGGCGGCAAGGAGGACGTGGCCCACGGGGGTCCCGCGACTTGGCTCACGCATAGCTGACTTCCCCGTGGCCTCCTCCTCCTCTTCTTGTTATTCTTATCATCCTTGTTAGTCTTGTTCTGTTTCTTATTAGTATGTTTCTTCTTCATATTATTATTAGTATGCTTCTTATTCTTATTATAAGTAATATTATTATCATTCCTCCTCCTCCTCCTCGTGCTCGCTCCTCCTCCTCCTCCTCCTCCTCCTCCTCCTCTTCCTGTTCCTCCTCCCCCTCCTCCTCCTTTTCCTCCTCCTCCTCCTCCTCCTCCTCCTCCTCCTCCTCCTCCTCTCCTCCCACCATCCTCCTCCTCCTCCTCTTCCTCCTCCTCCTCCTCCTCGGCCTCGTTCTCTTCCTCCTCCTTCCTCCTCCTCCTCCCCCCTCCTCATCCGCCGTTTTCCTCCTCCTCCTTCTCCTCCTCCTCCTCCTCCATTTTCCTCCTCCTCCGCCTTGCCTCCCTCCTCTTCCTCCTCCCCCCTCCTCCTCTCTCTCCCGCCATCCTCCTCCTCCCCTCCTCCTCCTCCTCTTCCTCCTCCTACTCCTCCTTTCCCCCGTGTTCTCCTCCTCTTCCTCGTTCTCCTCCTCCTCCTCCCCCTCCTCCTCCTCCTCCTCTTCCTCCTCTCTCCTCTCTCCTCCCTCCCCCCACCATTCCTCCTCGTCCTCGTCCTCGTCCTCGTCCAGGTCCTCCTCCTCCTCCTCCTCCTCCTCGTCCTCTGTGTGAGTGGACTTGTTTCACTGCACGGCGAAGCGTGGCCACTGAAATCTGTCAGTTCTGGCGAAACTGCAGGCTCCTGCACGGAACTGATCTGACATCGGGGCGTCGAGCCCGGCACATAACACAGAAACACACAATCGTTGATATGTGTGAATGCTCTGCTATGCTGCGCTGTGGGTCTTATGCTGAGTTATCGTATCTGATCTG